TCCTTCTGAATCCTGCCCGCTAACTCCGCCCACTGACGCGCTCTCATCACCGTCATGCGTGCGTTTCCGCCTTGTGGGCGGCGCCAATTCGCTCAATCTTAAGGGCGTTACGGACGACTCGTTTACACGACGACGCTCTGATCGACGTCTGAAAATTAAATTCCTAATAAATAATAAAAAACAACAATAAATAAACAATAAACCCAAAACCAAATCAACCAATCAGCACTCACCTCGTCACCACTGGCTCCTCCCCGTCGTCGGTTTTCTCCGCCCCCCGCCTGCTTCTCAACGACTGCGATGGAGGCCCATCTCCAGTCTCGGCGCTTGGCCCTCCGCTTGCCGAACTCTTTCGACTTCCTTCAAAAAATAACAATAATAATAATAATAAATAATAATAACAATAACAAATAATAAATAACAATAATAAAAACAATAAATAATAATAAAACCCACTCAATTCGGGCGTATGCACCTGCCCTTTCGACTGATCCGAATCGCCTTTCAGTCCAATATCAGCGGATGCCTTTCTCGGAGACATCCGCACAGCCCTATTGCCCGAACGACCCACTGCACTTGTCGATGCCTCACTCTATAATAATAATATCAATAATAAATAATAACAATTATAAATAATAAAAATAATAACAAATAATAACATAATAAATAATAATAATAAACAACAACAATAATAAATAATACTAAAACCAACCCTGTTCTGATTCCTCAGCTGTCTCCTCTCACCCGCTGCCTGCGTATGCCTCTCATCACCTCCCCTGCCCTCGCCCACGCTTCTACCCGACCTCGTTGTCGTTTCCTGCGCTGTTGGCTCAGTCTTAGTCTCATTACTCGATATCTTAATTAATAATTAATTACAATAATAAATAATAATAACAATAAATAACAATAATAAATAATAATAAATAATAACAATAAATAATAAAAATAACCCACCTCATCCCCCCTTCCAATCCCATCCCCCTCCATCGAGCCCCCCTCCACGTCCTCAGCTTCCAGTTTCACTCTAGCCATCTGCACCTCACCCGTCGACTTCTCTTGTCCTTCCGTTAACGCTCGTGGCGAACCTCAAAACAGCCTCCATTAATTCCGTATAACGCAGACAGTTACACAACCACATGGAACCCGCAAAATGTGCACGCAAAACGAAGAGAATTAGACGATCAGACAAACAGAGTCCACTATTAAGAGTAGTGCACAGACAGCTAGACAGCTGAGAAGAATCCGCCCACTCAATTGATAACAATAACAAATAATAATAAATAATAACAACAATAATAAATAATAAAAAATAACAATAATAATAATAATAAATAAAATCATCGCTTACCCGCGGGTATTTTCTCCACAGAGTTTGTGGCAGTCTTTCCCTCCTGAACAGTCGAGTCTGCAATTGCCACGCCACGATCTTCCACCGAACCCTTCTCACCTGCTGCATCTGACTGCAAATAACAATAATAAATAATAATAATAATAAATAATAACAATAATAAATAATAATAAATAACAATAATAATAACAATAATAATAATAATAAATAATACCAAAACGGCACAACAACTCACTTTCTGCTCCTTTTTTATACTAGACACCACCCCAACAGCTCCATCGGATGACGTGACCGGCTCATCTTCCTTGACCTCTGACCTTTGCCCTCTGTCACTCGGCTGACCTTTGACCTCCTCCGTCACCTCCATCGTGCCACCCGACTGGCCAATGCCATCCGGATTCTCATCAATTTCAGCCTCTCTTACCAATTTCTTCGGACTCATCAATGCTGACCTCAGGCTCATACCACCGCCATCGCCCCCACTAGTTCGGGTGCTTGGTGTCCCGGAGGCCTCTGGCGTTCCCGATTGTCCGGATGTAGCAACAGCAGCTGCCACTACTGTCTGCGCTCTCTCCGATTCGCCTACACTCTCCGCTTTCTCTGTCGCCTCGTTCTCCTCCTCCTCCCCTAGTTTCTCACCGTCCGCTCCGGTTCCAGATGTCCCAGCTTCGGCACCAGGCACCTGAGGTACCTGTGGTTCCTCCAGTACCTCGGATTGCGCGGTTTCCACGTTTTTCGGGCTTTTCAGGTCACCACCACTGCTCTTAGGCTCACTGGTCTCAGCCGCCTTCGCGTCCCCAGATGACCCTTGACCTTTGTCCCAGTTCAGCCCATCGAAGAGGGGTTTTATGGGTGAGAAAGGCGCTGCAGAAGGACTCGATTCGGACGGTTGCACAGGCCGTGAAGGGGGTATCACGATACGCAGCGGGGGATACTTCTCTGGCTGAAATATTATCCACCCATATGAACTTTAAAAACATTTATATTAACAATTTATAATAATAATTAATAACTACAATAATAATAAATAATAATAACTTTAATAATAATAATAAATAATAATAATAAACAATAATAATAATAAATAACAAACCTCTTCCTCATGCAATGCCCGTAATTCCGCAATTTTCTCCATCCCAGCCTCCACCTCCCTCTTGACTACCTCTGGATCTCGCTTCAATTAATTATTATTATAACTATAACAATTATAAATAATAATAAATAATAAATAACAATAATAAATAACAATAATAAATAATAATAAATATAATAAATAATAAATCCCACCTTACTATCCTCCAGCCTCGCCTCCTCCAACCTCTTCGCTATCTCCTCATCCGTCAACGGATTATCCTCCGAAAATATCCGATTGAAGATCGCTGCCTTCTCGCGCATTTTTATCAACAGCATCTCGGTTTGTCGAGCGTACTCCAATTTCACCTATTTTTTAAAATATTTACAATAATAACAATAATAAACCTGAAATTAAATTTCCAAACCCAAAAAATGACCTGAAATTAATTTTTTAAAGCTGCCATAACCCCCACCTGTTTCTGCAGATACACAATCCATGCCTTGATCAGTTCCTTCTGGGAGTACTTCTCACCCTTCTGCCTGATAAAATGCTCTGGGTGACCGCTGCAGATTATTCTATCGAATTCATCCTTACATGTCTGCAAAGTTATTACTATTACTATTACTGTTACAATAATAATAAATAATAATAAATATATAATAAATAATTACAATAATAAATAATAATAAATATAATAAGTAAATTTAAAAAATAACCTTCGCTGTGAAAAATCCCGTCGAACGTTTGAATGCAAACTCATTCGTTAGATTCTCCGCACACACTCGCCTTAAAACACATAATTAATTATTATTATTAATCATACTTATTATTATACATAATAATATTAATTATATATAATTACATTTAATGTTATTTATTATTACATATAATATTAATTAATAAACCCACCACTCCAACTGCGTATCGAATAACGTCAACAACTTCAACGACTCCTCCAAGCTCCACTCCGGAGCCATC